CCACCAACTACGACGACCACTACAACAACAAAGCCACCAACTACGACGACCACTACAACAACAAAGCCACCAACTACGACGACCACCACCACAACAAAGCCACCAACTACGACGACCACGACGACCACGACCACAACGACCACTGCGCCAGAGGCACCAAGTATTACGACTACAGAGGCGCCAAATACGACGACCACCCGTGCACCGTCACATGTTCGCGAAATTGACGGCAGCCCCGGCAGCTCTGCGTGGGCGTGTGCCCCGCTGCTTCTCGCCGCATCCGCGCTGGCGTACACCACTCTGGGCTGAAGAGGTGTGTGCGGGCTGTGCGTGCCAGCACTCAGTCACGGGGACATGTGTACGTCTACTGTGGTCCGATGTATAAAGTAAGAGTAATTATGATGATTGTGTTTTGCTTTGCTTGCTTCTGCTGCCATGCTGTGTGCTCCGCGTTGTGCACCACATCCGTCACGTTGAACGCATCCCAGACACACTCATATGCATGCGCACTGGAGCCTTAGGTTTGTTTTTTCTTCTTGTTCTTTTTCTAATTCTTTTTCTTTTTTTTTTTTTTTCTGCTTTTATAACTTCTGTGTTGTGGGGCGGTGTGCGAGCTCTGCAATCGCACTGGTTCCGTCTGTTTCGTGGTGTGTGCGGCTGCGGCTGCGGTGGTGGCCGCGTGAGAGTGGGTGAGAGAGAGCCATGCACCGCCCGCACACACACTCGTCTTTCACTCACTCTCTGTGTGTGTGTCCCCTTGCATGGACTCTCGTCCTCACCTCATCCCACGAAGCACACACATAATGTGCCCATTGTATTTATGCATGCACACCCATGCATGCCCGTTGGTGCTCTCTTTTGCACGACACGCACCGCTGCCGTCCTGCCTGGCTGCATGGGCGGAGCACCGTAACTGTTTCTGTTTTGTTTTTATTGCTTTGACTGGGCGACCTCTCTCTCTCTCTCTCCCTGTGTGTGTATTTTGCTTTACGGGAGCAATGAGAGTGTGTGCGCTGGTCGTCCCACGCTGCTTTTTGTTTTTTATTGTTTTACTTGTGTTGTGGTTGAGCACATCCATTCCGCTTTTTTGATCGGCGGCATGTTTTGACTGCGATCACTTTAATCCTCTTTTGTTATTCCCATATTATTTTTCGTGTTGTTGAGGAAGGCGTCAGCCTCTCGTAACCTTGCCAAGCTACTCAGTGATTTTTTTGAAATACGCCATGCGTCAGTTGATCCACGACACCCCACGGTCTGCAGCGCCGCTTCTTCTGCTTGTGATGATGTTTGTGATGTGATTTGCCAGTTGGTGCTTTGCCGTCACCCAGACTTATTCTTTGCTTTCTTGACGATTTGTTGCGTACCGACGGCGCGTGGTTGATTTTCCTGGTGGTGAGGGACGTGCTTCTCGGAGCGTAGGATGCGTTGCAGGTGTGGAGCGTCGTTTGGAGGGACCGATGGGTGCCCGTCCGCATCAAGGCGTCAACAACGGACCCGTGTGATAGCAGGAGGCAGTGCGGCTTCTTTTGGCGTTGCACAGCGAATGCACTGGACGGCGCGTTTGGCTGTAAGAATGGTGCTCTATCCTCTGCACACGGGAACGCTGTTGCCGAGGAGACTGTCCCTGCTGCTGTGTAACTGCATGCGGATCGTCTGCTCGTCCAGCCACTGGAGGGTCCGTTGTTTGTGCCGTCACTCGCCACGGGCAGTGTTTGTGGTCGGTTCGCGGTGCCTGCTGAGCATTGTCCCGCTGGTGTTGCCAATTCTGACATAATGCTGTACGCGGCTGCTGCGCCTGGCGGTGTGTGGTCACTGCCGTGCGCCACGCTGGAGGATGGCCGTCCCGTCGCTGGCGCCATGAACATTGCCCGGCGTTTTTATTTTGCGGACGCCTCGACACTTGCATCGCCGCGCACCTGATGGCCCATGCTGTCGGGTTCACCCACCCGCACATGGCAGGCCGCAGCATGGTGAGGAATGTTATTGGTGTGCGTGGCAGGGCGCGGTCGGTGGTGGTGCGCTCGACGAGTGCCGCGATGGTTGCGAGGAAGCACCACGACTGCGACGACGTTGATGACGTGGAGCTGCAGGATGACGATGGGGACGGGAGGACGCTGGAGTCGCACTGGTGGCAGCGCCACGCGAGGGATGAGCGGATGGCACTGATTGGGGCGCCGGCGACCACACGGAGCTGACGCTGGCCGCGTTCGCTGAACTGGGCTGCATGAGGGTGAGCAGGGGGATATGGCGGAGCCGATGCGTTGGTGCAGGAAGTCGGGCTTTAGGCTGCTGCTGCTGCAGAGGAAGCGCTCCGCACCGAACATGAGTGAATATTGCTACATGCTCTGCGACGTGGGTGTCCCTGTCAAACGCTGCGCGTCGGACCGGTATTCCAGCGGTTGGTATTTGAGGAGTGTCCACGAAAGGTCAGCAAAACAGCCGATGGGCCGTTGCCCCATCACTGATCCCGCACTGGATGTGAGGGATGCTGACGCTGTTATTTGGAGGGGAGAATGTTTGTCTGCGGTGCCCGGGGATGAGCCCTCTTCGTGGTGTCTGGACACGCTTCCCAACAACACGACGGATGCGAGGAACCCGGAGGAGACAAATAAATCAGTGCTGCCATGCATGCGGCATTGAGGTGCCTCGGCATGTAATTGCGTCTGGAAGTGGCTGAAAAGGGTAACGTCCGTTGTTTCCCATGCACGGACGGGGCGACGGTTGCGTGGGCCACTCTGCCCTACGATGAGGGGACCGTTATTTGCCGTGACCACGCGCAGGTGTGCACGATATCCGCCACCGCCGGCAGTTTCCTTCCAGTGGTTTCGTGGGACGGCGAGGAGAGGGTGTGGAGCAGGACGGTTTCGCCGGCATCTACTGGACAAGGATTGCGAGGGGGCATCCGTCCCTGTTGCGGAGAGCATTGATCCTGACCGCGGCACCCCACCGAAGGATGTCGACTCGGCCGCACTCCAGAAGAATCCGTCGCCCGAGGAGAGGCAATCGCCCCAGATGCTCCGACAGGCAACGGGGTGATCTCGCCCAACGACACCGCGGGTACGCCGCAGGAGGCTTTGAGGAAGGGCGATCTTCCGTGCAACGACGGTGTCGCCGCCGATGGTGTGACGTCTTTTGTGGGACAATCCAACAGGAGATGAGGCCGTGAACAAGAAGGCCGGTGGCGGTGCCAAAACCACGGGGCCCAAGGGCCCTGATGCCGCTGATGATGCGCAAGGCGCCGTGGACCCTCCGCCGAGGGAGGATGATGCGGCGGTGGGGCACGGGGATTGGGAGGCAGAAATGACAGCAGGCCCCGCCTCCGACTCCCGCTAATGACGTTTCTGCTGCTGCTTGTCCCTTCGTTGCTTCTTCTGTTTCTCGCTGCGGCAGCCGTGAAAGTGCTCTATCGACTGGCGGCGTTGACGGCATTGCGCTGCGAGGCGACTGCGCCTCGTTCTGCGTGGTCTGCACTCAGCATTGGATGCCAAATAGAAAACAATCCATGTCAAATGGTTCCTCTCCATGTATGTATGTTCCGTATGCCCTCCGTTGGACTCTCTGTTTGGTATTGGGGATATGTCCGATGCACACTGCTCCCTTTTTGTTGGTTACCAATGTGGAGGCACCATACTGTCTTTTTTTTTGCTTTTATTTTTTGTTAGATTTTCTGAGACGCACACACCGGTGCGAGTGGAATATACACGCAGACACACACCAACATCCAAGCACATCGTCTTTGTGACCTGCTCTTAATATAGTAACGTAGTATGCGGGGCGGGTTGGTGCGATCAAAGCCTTCGGAAGAGGGGCAGCCGCGTGAGCCCAGCAATGGCATTCGTGGTTGTGTGCGGGATTATATCTTCCGCCACATGCTTGACGCCGTTCCGGGATCATTCAAGGTTCTTATTTGCGATGCCCATGCTGCGGCTGTTCTAAACTGCTCGCTGCGTGTCCATGATCTCATGGAGCACGGCGTGACGCTGCTCGAGGACCTCATGACGCCGCGACAGCCAATTATCAGTAGCCCTGCGCTCTACTTTTTCGCCGTGGAGGATGCGTCTGTGAGCCGCGTGGTTGAGGATTGGATGGCAAAAGACCCGTACAGGGAAGCACACGTCTTTGCGCTGGGATGCACCCCGGATTGCCACCTTCAGCAACTTGCACGGGCTCGGATAGCGCCGAGGGTGATGAGCTTTAAGGACATGATGTTAGACTTCAGCGCCCCTGAGGCACTGGTGTTCCACCTCAACATGCAGAATGAGTTCCCTCAGCTGCTGTCACCGCTGTCGCTGCCCACTCGAGAGTCCGTTTTGGACGTTGCGGCGTCGCGCCTTGTGGCGGTTTTTCACGCCATGAACAACGGTGTGCCCGTCATTCGCTACCAAAGCAGAAGCAGCATCTGCCATGGGTTTGCCAGGAATTTCTTTGAGAGGCTTGCCAAGCTCTGCTACGAAGAGCCGGATTTCAAGAGGGGCGCAGACAGCCGCGGCAACCCGGTGCTGATAATCGTTGATCGAGGCTTCGACACGGTGACGCCGCTGATGCACCAACGCACATATCAGTGTCTTCTCGACGACCTGATGCCGCTGGAGAATGAAGTGTATGAGCAGACCTTCCAGAATCGCCTGGGGGTGGACTCGAAGCGGCAGTACTCGATTGACGAGGAGGATGTGTACTGGTGCGCCTACCGTCATCGTTTCTTTGCGCAGTGCCTGGAGGAGCTCCCGGCGGCACTGAAAAAACTCCACGCGGATCACCCGGGTTTGGCGCAGGGCGTGGAGCAGAAGGCCAATCTTGCGGAGTTGGGGAGTTCGGTGCGGGCTCTGCCGGAGTTTCAGGAGAAGCAGGCCAGACTGTCGCTGCACATCGACATTTGCACGAGGCTTGTAGCGCAGTACCGGGAGAAGCGACTGGCGGAGGTGTGCGAGGTGGAGCAAGACATCGCCGCCGGGCGCAAACCCTTCAGGAAAAACCTGGAGGGCGTATGGCGCCTGACGAAGGATGCCGCGATACCCCGGCCAGTGCGCCTTCGTCTTCTCTTGTTGCTTGTGGCTGCGAGCGGCAGTGACGAGTTGACGGAGGCCAAGAAGCAGCAGCTGATCCAAGACGGTGAACTGACGGCCGACGCCCACTTGTTTGCGAACCTTGAGCATGTGACGAGGGCTGGGAAAGTGCAAAGAGACGGCGCAGCGTCGGCGCAGAGCGAACGGAGCACGAGTCATTCTGCGAGCAACGCTGCAACGGACGGGGATCCGTTTCTGAATCAGGCCTACATGATTATGGAGGCTGCGGCAAGAAATGGACTGAACGCGTCCGAATATCCAATGATGAACTCCCCGTACGAGTCGAGGGCACCCGCGGCGGGTGGCGGGGCACCGATGGAGGCGGTGGGCAGGAAGAAGACGTTGCGGGTTGGGCTTTCATTGGCATCGATGCAGCGCGACCATGTGATGGGGCCAAATGGCGCCAGTGGGAGCCAAAACAGTGGAGCAGCAGGAAACAACGCCGGGCCGTTTCAAGGGGGTAGAGGTAAAGGGGAGAATCAGCTTGATCTGGGTGGCGGTGCTGGGACGATTGCCCTTACAAGCCCTCAGCGCATTGTGCTGTTTGTTTTGGGTGGGGTGACCTGCAGCGAGAGGCGCTCGGCCTACGAGATATCCAAAAAGTATGGCCGTGAGGTAATCATTGGAGGCACCTCGCTGCTGCGTCCTGAGGTGTTTGTGCAGGGACTTGGCACCCTACGGTAGTGCGACTCACGGGCTGGACACGCAAAGGAGCGCATCGGGGGAGGAAGAGGGGGAAATATATACAAACACACACGATTGCAGGTGTCTGTGGGGATTGTGTGCGCTTCCATTCTGCATTCTGTACTTTTTCCTGAAGTGTTTCATACGATGCACGTGTGTGTTTTAACAGCAGCGCTGATTTTCTTTTGCTTTTGTTTTTTTACGTGTGCGACTACGAGCCATTCCTCCGCAACGAAGAAGGCGGATAATAAAGGAAGGAAGTTTGTGGAGCATGCACACAAGGCTTCAGTGTTGATCCGCTGGTGCTGACTTTTTTTGCTGGGCATTTGTGCGCGCTTTTCCCCTCAACGTTTTATTTTATTTTATTTTTGCACAGAAAGCAGCAGGTGGGCATTTGTGAGAGCTGCGGCGGGTTGCTGTTGCCCTCGACGGGACGCGCGCATCGGCGGCAGCTCCATTACTCTGGGCACAAAGGGAATGAAGCGCTTTCTGGATCCTCACCGCAGGCGCATGCCGTGGACGGCCTCAAAGGAGTGTGTTCCCGATGTTGTTCTTAACAACAAGGAAAATATGGTGTTGGATAGCGTACAAAGAGTGGATTTGGATTGCGTTGACCGTGCATCGCAGGTGGATTCCCTGGAGGCATAGCGGAAGGCCGTGGCCACATGTGAGTACAATACATCCACCGGAAAGAACATTTTTCATTTGGCCTCTTGGATGGAATCAAATGGACTCAGGCAATGGTTTACCGCAAGGAGTGACCGGAGGGGACGTACGACAAGTATGTCACCCTTTCCGCCATTGATTTTAATCGCGATGGAAATAAGGGAACCGCGTACGGTTACTTGACGTTTCACGGCGAAACCACGACAAGACCGGCGCAAATAGACTTTGCGGATTTTCCGGGGTGGCACATGGGGTTTCGGGTGGAACGCGCTGTTCCTTTTAACGCGATCGTTCCCCCACCCCCAAGTATTGGTGCAGACATCCCTGCCGATGGACGTTGCTCTTGCTTGCGGGCGCATCCATTTAATGATGCGGCCGAAACCTCCAGCCCACTGCTGGTGCTTCTGGCTTGACTGCTGCACCGCCCCCAGCAGCGGGTGTAGTGGGTCTGGGGATGACAACACAGTGGACGAAGTTCACTCGAATGGTGCTGGCGGCCCCGTCAGCGTCTCGTCGACCCCAGCGACCTACCCACACCACCGGCGAGCACAGACATGGACGAGACAGGGAAGGCATCAACAGACTGCCAGGGAAACAATTGCTTTTTCACATTACTTTCAGCCAAACAACCGGAAGAATTCACAAAAACATCAATCACCAACAATGAAAAAGGAACAGCGACCACCGCGGCCACCAACGGCAGCACCGCAGGCCTCCACAAAAATTCCCCTCTTTTGCTTCTTCTTGTCACGTATGCAGCAACAGCTGCGTTGGTGGCTACGCTCGCATGAATTGGCGTGTGCTGGAGAGAGACGGCCAGAGGAAACCAGCTTCTCCTTGTGATGAATATTGGCTGCACTTCCCGTGGACCAACAATTCTCGTGGTGTGCGGGGATATCTTTCCCTTTTTATTGTTACTTTGGCCTTTTGGGTTGCTGTGTGCGCTGCATCTATTCTCGTGTGTGTGTGTGTACTCTCCGTGGATTGGAGTGTGTGTCGTGCGTGGTGTGCGGCGTACGGTGCACGCCTGGCTGCTGCCCTCTTTCCTCATGTGGTTTGCCCTCTGTGTGTGTGTCTGCCGCACCTCTCGTCTCCCCTGTTGCTCTCCATGTCCCTCACTGTGCAGATAAGCTCCACACCACTGAATGACCACACTCACGATGATGACGTGCCGTCTGCTGTGCGCCCTGCTGTTGCTCGCCTTGTGCTGCTGCCCGTCCGTGTGCGTGACAGCAAGTGTTAAGCAGGACACTACGACTACGACTACAACAACAAAGCCACCAACTACGACGACCACTACAACAACAAAGCCACCAACTACGACGACCACGACCACAACAAAGCCACCAACTACGACGACCACTACAACAACAAAGCCACCAACTACGACGACCACGACCACAACGACCACTGCGCCAGAGGCACCAAGTATTACGACTACAGAGGCGCCAAATACGACGACCACCCGTGCACCGTCACATGTTCGCAGAATTGACGGCAGCCTCGGCAGCTCTGCGTGGGCGTGTGCCCCGCTGCTTCTCGCCGCATCCGCGCTGGCGTACACCACTCTGGGCTGAAGAGGTGTGTGCGGGCTGTGCGTGCCAGCACTCAGCCACGGGGACATGTGTACGTCTACTGTGGTCCGATGTATAAAGTAAGAGTAATTATGATGATTTTGTTTTGCTTTGCTTGCTTCCGCTGCCATGCTGTGTGCTCCGCGTTGTGCACCACATCCGTCACGTTGAACGCATCCCAGACACACTCATATGCATGCGCACTGGAGCCTTAGTTTGTTTTTTCTTCTTGTTCTTTTTCTAATTCTTTTTTTTTTTTTTTCGTTGTTTTTGCTTTTATAACTTCTGTGTTGTGGGGCGGTGTGCGGGTTATGCAGTTGTACGGGTTCCGTCTGTTTCATGTTGTGTTTGTTGCTGCTGCTACTGGGCTGCTGCCATTTGTTTTTGTGCGGTGGCTGTGCGTGGTGTAGCGGTCGTATTTCTCTCTTTGTTTTCGCTGCATTGACGGGGAGTTGGTTTGTGCTGGAGGCTACACGCAAGTGACAGGAGTGATGGCGATGATGGTGACTGGCCGTGTGCTGCTGGTGTGTGCACTCTGCGTGCTGTGGTGCGGTGCCTGCGGTGTCGGCCGATGCTGGGGATTATGATGTTTCTTGTGGTCATGGAACTTTGGGCGCAATTGGAGTTGGTGTTGACGGTAAACCCTCCGCCCGGTTGGTAGTCATGCATCTACAGGAGGTACAAAGGGTGAATGTTTTCAGGGAGGTGGAGGTGACTCTCCGGGTTCTGCTACACCCGCTTGCACATCGTCACCTGCCGATGCGGAAGAGTCCGAGGGTGGGGCTTTAAATGGCTCCAAGAAGGATGTATCCCGTGTTGAGGAGGACCCCGATGCTGCGCAGGACCCGCTACAACCAGGTCTCACGTTGCATCGGCAGCCGAGGTGATGGCGGCAAAACTGTGAAAGAAGAAGTGACTGGTGTGGAGAGCAGCGACACTGCTGACTTGCCCCCAACGAGAGCCACGCACCACAAGCAGCACGACCAATGACGGGGGAACCGGAAGGCACAGGGAAACGGGCAGCATCGAAAGCGTTATCAACGCCAGCAGAGGGACGAGGGATATCAGGCGCGACGGATCAAAAAGTGGGCTCACCAAAGGAGGAAGCCGCGTCCAGCGCAGGTGCCACAAACAGTCGGTCACCTGTCGGTCAACAACAAACAGAACCTTCATCTCCCTCTACGAGTGGAAGTACTTCGACTTTGACTCCGGAAAAGGAACCCGCTGGGGAGCTCCATTCCAACAATAACCAGCCATCTGGTGACGCAGCACCGAAGGAAGGAACGCAACATGAAAGTCTTGCTGGCGGCGAAACGCAAATATAACCCGCAACTACTAACGACGAATCGATTGGAACAGCACCAACTGGCGACGGCGACAGCAGTACCGTGGCCTCCCACACCACCTCCCCTTTTTTGCTCTTGCATCTTCCTGTTACGTGTGCGGCTCCTGCTGCGGTGGTGGCTGTGCCTGCATGAAGTGGTGTGCGCCGAATATGAACTAAGGCCCAGTGCAACTGAACTGTTTTGTGATGAATATTGGCTGCACTTCCCGTGGACCAACAATTCTCGTGGTGTGCGGGGATATCTTTCCCTTTATTGTTACTTTGGCCTTTTGGGTTGCTGTGTGCGCTGCATCTATTCTTGTGTGTGTGTGTACTCTCCGTGGATTGGAGTGTGTGTCGTGCGTGGTGTGCGGCGTACGGTGCACGCCTGGCTGCTGCCCTCTTTCCTCATGTGGTTTGCCCTCTGTGTGTGTGTCTGCCGCACCTCTCGTCTCCCCTGTTGCTCTCCATGTCCCTCACTGTGCAGATAAGCTCCACACCACTGAACGACCACACTCACGATGATGACGTGCCGCCTGCTGTGCGCCCTGCTGTTGCTCGCCCTGTGCTGCTGCCCGTCCGTGTGCGTGACAGCAAGTGGTCAGAAGAAGGAAAATACGACTACGACTACAACAACAAAGCCACCAACTACGACGACCACTACAACAACAAAGCCACCAACTACGACGACCACGACCACGACGACCACTGCGCCAGAGGCACCAAGTATTACGACTACAGAGGCGCCAAATACGACGACCACCCGTGCACCGTCACATGTTCGCAGAATTGACGGCAGCCCCGGCAGCTCTGCGTGGGCGTGTGCCCCGCTGCTTCTCGCCGCATCCGCGCTGGCGTACACCACTCTGGGCTGAAGAGGTGTGTGCGGGCTGTGCGTGCCAGCACTCAGTCACGGGGACATGTGTACGTCTACTGTGGTCCGATGTATAAAGTAAGAGTAATTATGATGATTGTGTTTTGCTTTGCTTGCTTCTGCTGCCATGCTGTGTGCTCCGCGTTGTGCACCACATCCGTCACGTTGAACGCATCCCAGACACACTCATATGCATGCGCACTGGAGCCTTAGGTTTGTTTTTTCTTCTTGTTCTTTTTCTAATTCTTTTTTTTTTTTTGTTTTTCGTTGTTTTTGCTTTTATAACTTCTGTGTTGTGGGGCGGTGTGTGAGTTCTGCAATTGTACTGGTTCCGTCTGTTTCATGTTGTGTTTGTTGCTGCTGCTGCTGGGCTGCTGCCATTTGTTTTTGTGCGGTGGCTGTGCGTGGTGTAGCGGTCGTATTTCTCTCTTTGTTTTCGCTGCATTGACGGGGAGTTGGTTTGTGCTGGAGGCTACACGCAAGTGACAGGAGTGATGGCGATGATGGTGACTGGCCGTGTGCTGCTGGTGTGTGCACTCTGCGTGCTGTGGTGCGGTGCCGGCGGTGGTGCCTGCGGTGTCGGCCGATGCTGGGGGTTATGGTGTTTCTTGTGGTCATGGAACTTTGGGCGGAATTGGAGTTGGTGTTGACGGTAAACCCTCCGCCCGGTTGGTAATCATGCATCTACAGGAGGTACAAAGGGTGAATGTTTTCAGGGAGGTGGAGGTGACTCTCCGGGTTCTGCTACACCCGCTTGCACATCGTCACCTGCCGATGCGGAAGAGTTTGAGGATGGGGCTTTAAATGGCTCCAAGAAGGATGTATCCCGTGTTGAGGAGGACCCCGATGCTGCGCAGGACCCGCTACAACCAGGTCTCACGTTGCATCGGCAGCCGAGGTGATGGCGGCACAACTGTGAAAGAAGAAGTGACTGGTGTGGAGAGCAGCGACACTGCTGACTTGCCCCCAACGAGAGCCACGCACCACAAGCAGCACGACCAATGACGGGGGAACCGGAAGGCACAGGGAAACGGGCAGCATCGAAAGCGTTATCAACGCCAGCAGAGGGACGAGGGATATCAGGCGCGACGGATCAAAAAGTGGACTCACCAAAGGAGGAAGCCGCGTCCAGCGCAGGTGCCAAAAACAGTCGGTCACCTGTCGGTCAACAACAAACAGAACCTTCATCTCCCTCTACGAGTGGAAGTACTTCGACTTTGACTCCGGAAAAGGAACCCGCTGGGGAGCTCCATTCCAACAATAACCAGCCATCTGGTGACGCAGCACCGAAGGAAGGAACGCAACATGAAAGTCTTGCTGGCGGCGAAACGCAAATATAACCCGCAACTACTAACGACGAATCGATTGGAACAGCACCAACTGGCGACGGTGCCGTTCTTTTATTTCTTTCTTTCACTTCCTTTTCTTTTACGTTTGGAGGAGCGGAAGGAAAGGAACCCAGGAGGCAGTTTCACAATGAGCAGAGTGTACATTGCTGGCCCCGCGGTGTTCAACGAAGACATGGGTGGGACCTATTACGACCGTGTGCGCACGGCTCTGGGGATGCATGGCGTTGTGCCGCTCATTCCCGTTGACAACATGGTTTCAGGGGCTGGGGAGATACGGGCGAAGAACTTGGAGATGATAAGGCACTGCGACGCCGTCATTGCGGACCTGTCGCCGTTTCGCTCGCATGAGCCGGACTGCGGGACTGCGTTTGAAGTGGGCTATGCTGCCGCCCTGGGAAAGACGGTGCTGACGTTCACTTCCGACCGGCGTTCCATGAGGGAGAAGTACGGCGGTGCGTTTGACGCGTCCGGGAGGACTGTGGAGGACTTTGGCCTTCCCTTCAACCTGATGCTTTGCGACGGGACGGAGGTGTTCGACTCCTTCGACGCTGCCTTTCACCACTTCCTGAGGCAACGCTCAGAATGGCGGGGATGCGACTGTAGCGGAGGTGTGCGAAGTTAGATTTAATGCTTTTTTTTTTGTTGTTGGAATGACCGTGAGCGCTGGGATTTCTGTTGGTGGTTTTGCGTTGATTTCTTGAAACCACGCACACACGGCCCTTCTCCCTCTTGTGTTTGGTGGGAATAAATGATTGCTGGTGCAGCAACGACACGCTGTGCACCCCACTGGCGCGTCTGATGAGCCTCCCTGTGCTTTTCTCTCCACCTCTCGTACCCACATCGAGAAAGAAGGAAAACAAGCGCGAATCGCCACTGTGAAATTCGAAGGCTTTGAAAGGACCAAAAGCACACACACCGCCCACACATATTTATATGCTCTCACTTGTTGCTGCTGTCAAGGCACCCCGCACACACAACCATCGCCGCGTGACCGGATCCAGCGGAAGGAGGAGGGAAGGAAGAGAGAGTGAGCCGCAGAGGCCCAACATGTCCCGGCGTGTGTTTACTTCTGCGGCGCTACTCTTTCTTGTTATGATGATGTGCTGCGGCAGAGGAGCTGCTAGCGCGGAGTTGATTCCTTCACCCCCTAGCCAGTTTAAATGGGAAGGCATCACTGATGATAAGGAAACTGTGAAATCATTGGGTGTTTCCGGCCTTTTGAAAGTGGGGAATGACGTATTTGCCGTTGCTGAGGCGCAGTGCAAGAAAGAAGAAGAAGACACCTTTACTGGCATTGCGTCCCAGCTGCTGAATTTGGAAGACAAAACTAATAAAGAGCCGGAGGAAATTCTGAAGGATGCGAAAAAGGATACACAGGTTTTGGAGAAAGACGTTTCCCAAGGCAAGAAGAAAGTAGATGTGAGCCGACCAACGACAGTTGTGAAGGGAAGAGAGATTTACATGCTTGTTGGAAAATGCAGCGGAACAGTTGCCGGCGGTTCTGGGGAAAGTGTTGCAGAAGCCTCGGGACTTTTTCTGGTGAAAGGGGAATTCAGTGATGAAAGTAACAAAAAAATTCTTTGGAAAGATACTAAGGATGTGCCACGGGCATCTTTCGGCGAAGAAATTCAATCCTTGGAAGGACTGATTGGCGGCGGTGGATCGGGTGTTGGGACGGAGGGCAATACACTTGTGTTCCCAGTGGAAGCCACGACGAAGAAGGGTGAATCAGAAAAGGTTGGAAAGACTGTCTCACTGCTCATATACTCCTTGGATGATTCTGGTTGGACGCTGTCGAAGGGGATGTCTGCCGATGGCTGCAGTGATCCCTCCGTTGTGGAGCGGGAGAAGGGAATACTCATGATGATGACTGCGTGTGATGATGGCCGCCGCAGGGTGTACGAGATCAACGACAAGGGGGCGTCGTGGACGGAGGCACTCGGGACACTCTCGCGCGTGTGGGTCAATCCAACGGAAAATGGGAAGGGATTTCGAAGCGGTTTTACTACAGCGACTATTAGGAATGGGGATGATGAGAAAAAAGTGATGCTTGTTACTCTGCCGGTGTATTCCAATGAGAGAGGCAATGGAAAGGGCGTACTTCATCTTTGGCTGACAGATAATACGCACATTGCTGATATTGGGCCGGTATCCGATGATGACGACGTTGCCGCCAGCTCCCTGTTGTACAAAAGTGCTGAAAGTGGAAATAATAAGGAGGAAGAGGAGTTGATTGCACTGTACGAGAAGAAGGGCGATGGTCAACCATCACACAGTCTTTGGTCTGTGCGTCTGACTGAGCAGCTGAAGCGGGTGAAGGAGGTGCTAGCGACCTGGAAGGAAGTGGACGAACGTGTCTCCAAGCTGTGCCATTCTGGGAGTGCTGTGCAGGGTGCCTCAACTGACACTGCCTGCAGCGCTGATAAGATCACGGATGGGCTGGTTGGCTTTTTGTCCGGCAACTTCTCTGATAACACATGGAGGGACGAGTACCTCGGGGTGAACGCCACAGTAAAGGGGAATGAAGTTGAGGGGAAGAAAAAGGCAGAAGCGGCCACAGTGGATTCAGAGAAGGGCGTGAGGTTCCAGGGAGCGTGGGCGGAGTGGCCTGTTGGCAGTCAGGGGGAGAATCAGCTGTACCACTTTGCAAATCACAACTTCACTCTTGTGGCGACGGTGTCCATCCACGGTGTACCGGAGGGAGTTACTATTCCATTGATGGGTGCGACGATGAATGATGAACAAAAGAAATCTTTTGGGTTGTCGTACGAGAAAGGAAAGTGGAAGCTACTGTGCGGTGGCGAACCAAAGTCTGGGGAGCAAAGTCGCGCTTCGGAGCCAGATAAAGCTCAACACGTCGTGATTTTGTTGCGGAACGGCACCCAGGGCTCCGCGTACGTCGATGGTCAGCGTGTGGGTGGGGATACGCCGTGTGCATTGGGAAATACAGATTCGAAAGGGATCTCCCACTTCTACATTGGAGGCGACGCAGTGAGCACAGGGAGTAAAGACGTGCATGTGACGGTGACGAACGTCCTGCTGTACAACCGCCCTTTGAGCTCTGAAGAGATTGGCGCCTTCAACCCGAATAAAGACTCGACTCCACCTTTGGAAGAGAATCCGTCGAAGCCTTCACCAGATTCTTCTGATTCCATTATACCTCCCATCCCTCCGGTGAGCCCGAGTGCTCAGCAAACCGAAACTTCGTCCACTCCTGCCGGAACACAGCTGACGGAACAGGGACAGTCGATGGGGAGCAGTGGTGCGGGCAGTGGCGGTGCATCCGCACCAGCGGTGTCCACTGTCAGTACTTCCTCAGCCGAAGAGGAGTCCGTATTGCAGGTGACGTCAGGGACATCTCCCGATGGAAATCCAACTGTGGGTGGCGGTTCTACTGCTGATGGCGAGCCAACGATGGAGACAAGAAAAGGAGGAACAAGTGGGCAGGAAGAAGGGGCCCAGCCACAGGTCAGGGAAGTAAACGCTACGGCACTCAGCAGCAACCTCGGAAATTTGTCGCAGGGGAATAACACCGATGCTGGCACCATGCGTGAGAGGAGGTTGCTGCCGCTGCTTCTTCTGCTGTTGGGACTGTGGGGGTTTGCGGCTCTGTGAGGAGTGATTGGCTGCCGCGTGGGACAATCGCAGGCCTCCCCTGCACAGAATTACCTCCCCGGGAAACGAATATTTCTAACAACCATTTTTTTTTTTGTGCGTATTTTGAATTTATTTTCCTCTTTGCTTCTTTTTTCTTTTGGGGTAATCAATAAGGAAGTGATTTTTTTTCTTTTCTACTTTTGTTGTTTCTTGCTGCACTCTTCCTGTGAGGGGTGCCGTGTGTTTCCCGCCCAACTGCTCCACTCGCACACCCACCGACACGCTCACGACGACGGCTCTGTGCGCCTCGCCTGCTGCACGCATGAGGAGGGGCCGCGACGAACGGCGCGCTGAGGGAGCCGTGACGTGTGGGCGTGCGACGAGGGCCTGTGGGGCGGAGCACATATTTCTTTCCCTCTTGTTTTTTTTTTTGCGGCCAGGGCGGGCAGACACCCGCAGCGCCACACGCACACAGCCACACCCTGCCGCCGTGTTTTTTTGTTTGTTTGTTTTTCTTTTATTTGTAAGTTGTGTGTGCTGCCGCCGTGCGTGGTGGTTGATGTCGTGGCCGTACCGCATGTATTTCTGCCATCCTGCTGTGTCTCTTGCTGTGCTGACGATGTGCCTCCCTGTGCTTCTTTTTCGCTCCTCCAGCACGCACACATAATTATTTGCACAGTGCTCTGAAAGAATGTTTTTGGCGACGGCGGGACGTTTGTGTGCGTCCCGTGCTGAAATTGCGAGGCTGCTGCGTGTGTGCCTGCGGTGGGAATCACGGTGCCATTGGATGGATGCGTGTGGGACGCTCTTTGCATTCCTCCGGAGGCCGACTGACGCACCTGCACGATGCCCGCCATGCGTGAGGGTGTTGCCTGCTCTTGGGGTCATTCTTTTCATCCCTCTTTTTTTTGATCTGCCGTGTGCGGGCGTTGCTCGGTGTGTGCTGACGCGTGGCGGACGGTGCCACGATGGCCTCCTCTGGCGATGACAGTCGCTGTTGTGCTCTCGGCAGCCTCTCGCAGCACCCATGCCGTGGATTGAGAGGATGTGAGGGTTCGCCCGAGGACGACTACAAGATGTGGTGCATGACGGCCAACCTGATCCGCCTGTGGTTCCAGCGCATGGAGCACGTGCGCCAGTACGCGTTGGGCGTTGCGCCCATGATTGTGGAGGACACGGGGCTGTTTGGCTGAGGGAGGAGGCGGCGGGTTTCAGCCACGCGCGTATTTTGGATTCTTGTTGCGTTCTGTTTCCCGCGGCTTGCCGCCGTTGGCGCCGCAGCGCTGCTAATTTGTGTGCCCTCGCGCGGCGGTCGGGTCGCAATGTGCCGAATCCGCCTATTACCCCACACCCTGCCCGATCAGCGCCTGCACGCGATCCGCCGGCGCGGCGGCGAGAAGAAGGCGGGTGACAAGAAAGTCCGCCTGGCGAAATCAACCGGCAAGCCCTAACCGCCCGCGTTCCTTCAGGAGTCGTCTAAAACAATGAAAAAAAAAAAAAAAAAAAAAAACAGGGCAAAAGAGAGGAAAACGGATCGGGCGAGATTCAAGCGGCGTTTTCGGCGTTCTGCGGCGCCGGCGTGCGCATCCGCTTCGGGAGTGGGAAACGCAAAGGAAGGGTGGCGACAATCATAATGAAAAGACAGTGACATTTTTTTTTTTTTTAAGTCTCGTAGGCGCGGAGAATTTTTTTCTTTTGTTGTTTGCCTGTCCGTTTTTTTCCCTTTTTCCTTCATTTTAAGCCCTCACAGCGCCGCCTGAAACCAAAAAAACAATAAATAAAAGAAATTCCTTTAGAGTTTTTCCGCCAAATCGCTACCACTTTCCTATTCTCGTCCTTTATTGCTTCCTTCTTGTGATCGTTACTGTTTCTTTAAATGCTTCCACATCGTGGAAGCATTGAAGGCGTTGGCGGGCCGCTCCTCATACCGGAAACGCCGCGCACGTCTGCATATGTCTTCTTCCTCCTCTTCCGACGCTCCGCGAAAGGCATGCAGGGCGCTGCGTACCTCATCGGTGTTCGCGCCAGCGTGACTATTGGCGGCCGTTCCATTGCCGCCACCTTCCGCCCTATCCGTGCAGAATTCATCGAGACAGTCATCCAAGAGGTCGTCTTCTTCTTTCCTCTGTTCCTGTGCGGCCGCCGCTTCCTCAAAGAGGATGCTGTCCGTGTCCCGCCGGTGTTGCGACATGTATTCCGCATGCCATGCCGGAATGAAGCCTGTCAGACTGAGCCGCATCATAGGGATGACCTGCGAGATCCATTGGGTACGGGCATTGAGGGCCTGGGAGATCATGGTCTGAAGCATTAGCGGTATAAGTTCGTACAGGACACTTAATCCCCCTTCAAACCAGACGGATGCACGCTCAGCGGCAATTCCAGCGATGCGAACGAAAGCCACTCGCAATCCGGTCGTCCATTGGTCAATATCCACGGTTGGGTTTAAAATGGCGCTAGCGATTTCTTCATGCGCGAGGATCAAGTAACTTTTTAACTCTGAAAGAAAGTTGCATTGAGGCCGTCTCGCCCTTTCAATGAACTCCATAAAGCTGAGGTTCCCTTGAAGAGCCTCAATGGCTTGAGCCACTTGATCCTCCACAAATCGTCGCCGATTCTCCCGCTGCGTGCGCCGCGCCTCTCCCTCTGGTTGCTCTCCCCATTGCCTCACCGCTTCTACGAGGCGCTCCCGGGAAGCTGCAAAAAAAGAAAAATCTCCCTGAAGAAGTGGAAATAAAGTTGCGACATTTGCATTTGAAAAGGCTATAACGCAAAGCTGAGGAAGTCCACTTTCTTCCTCTTCTTCCGCGGTGCCAATAAGTGCGTTCGTCAGTTCGCCGATGGTTTCTGGCAGAGCATTGGAGGCCAAGTTCCTACTCCCAGCGGGGGCGTTGTTATCGCTGCCACGGTTGCCGTTATTTGATTCGGCTGTCCTCGGTGCGGCGGGTTGGGCCGAAGAGGTGGCTCCATGTGGAAGAGGTCCGCGTTCAACATGCACGCTCGCAGTCGATCCAGAAGCTTGCATGCGTCGGCGAAATCTTTCCAGGCGTTCAGGGAGTTGTTCAAGCTCATCCAGCGAGACGTGAACGTGGATGTGCACGGGTGAGGGTGCCAGTGCCTCGGGAGTCGGCACCGCGTAAGAAAACGAAAAGCGATGCTGCTGTTGTGGCTGCCCTTCCAAGGGTGACTGCTGTTGCTGCTGCTGTTGTTGTTGCGACTGCGGCTCTTGTTCACGCTGTTGCTGTTGCTGCTGCTGCTGCTGCTGCGAATTGTCCATGGGGTGTGGGCCCATTCCACTCCCCATGATTCCGCCCTGGATAATCACCGGGGTTCGCCCCGCCGTTGGCCCCACCATGCTCGAGACAGACTGCTGAATGAAGCTCAGGAGAGGATCCGGAATTCCCCGCCAGAAATTTGCAAATTCAAGCAAGTTCATCACGGGAACTCCGCCCTGCTCGTTGTTGCCGCTGTTGTTGCCTCTTGAGGAGGAATCTGATGGAGGAGGCGCGCCTTGCGTGATCACCGCGTGTATCGTCGCGCCTTCGTGAAGAAACGAGCCCAGCGGTCGAGAGTCGTCAATGAGACGCCCCATGTGGATGAGTCGCAGCCGCTCTGGTGCGGCACCGATCCGCTCGGCAACGGTACGCCGCAGTCCCTCGACGCCGGCGTCAAGGTCCACCTCCAGGTCGCTGATCGTGTGCTCCGGCCGCACACCCGACACATTGATCCTCATGATCTCTGATTTTGCTGCTTCACCCCTTCCTCTCCTTCCCCTCTTTCTGTTGCTTTGTGTGCTTGGCTGGTTTCGCCTGTGCCGCGTTCAGTTAGCTGAACGAGTTGACATATTGCATATTTTTTTTTGTGTGTGTTAAAACAGATAGACAGGAGAGAGAAAGAGAATATACACAAGAAAAGAAAAACCGGCTGTCAGCAGGCCTTCTTTCCACACGCACCACCACAAATGCCACCATCATCCTTTTGGTTTTGCTCACCCCTTAAACTTTTCTCTGCTAACAGCATGCGTCAGTCCAAGTCAAACTGGAACTTCGTTCTCGCCGCGCAGTCGCGTACGGCCTCAATCTTTGCCGCCACGTCGTCGTTGCACCAGCCGCACTCCACAAGAAGTCGCTCCGCCTCGTTAATCATCAACTCCCCGAGGTTGAGATGTTGCATCATGAGCAATCCGCCGTAATCCGCAGCGTACGTGATCCGCCGCTCCCCCATCGTCAGCCGGTTGACGATGTAGCGCTTCTTGAGCGCATCTGGCAGACGTTGGAATTCATGTCGGGGCGCCTCCTCATCCTCCGGCCAATGAGGGAATAATTCGCGATTGCTCTTTCGCATCAGTTCCTCCTCTTCCTCTTCTGTCTCCAGAGCGGCCTGGTACTTTTCGTGCATTCCAGGCTCGTAGTGCACGCGACCAAAGAAGGCATTCTCCCAGCTTCGCGCGATGCGGCGGCGCTCCTCCGCCGTTGCTGAGGTTCTTTTCCCTCCCGTCGTGTCGGCGGCCTCCTCACCGTCGCCACGGCGGTCACTGCCCGCACGACGGCTGCCGCCTCCCCCCTTCTCCCCTTCTGCCGAAGACGCCGATGAAGACGACGACGTGCAGAGGCGTTTCTGTGCGCACGCCACAAACCACAGTTGCACTCCTGTGCGGAGGCGTGGTGCCACCTGCGGTCCACGCCACATGATCCTCCAACTGAAGCCACCACCACCAACACATAACAAAAGCAAAGAAAAAATGAAAAGGAGGCCGACTTTGAAACATCCAAAACCGCGCAGTATTCCAACATGTAAGGGCACCATCACAGAAAATACATACCCACAAAAACAGATGGCAGAGAGAAAAAAAAAAAGAAAAAAAAAGACACGCAAACGCGTCGTAGTTTATGCATCTTTTTTTTTTTTTTTTTCTTTGCCTCCAAATGTGTCGGTTATTCCAATTGTGTAGATTCCTCATTGATTGGATTCATTCATGCGGAAAGCAACCGTCAGGGCTATCCCTCTTACATCATCCACCA